CTCCGCGCGCCCCGCGCCCCCGACGCGCGCGCCGCCCAGCCTCCCAGACACCACCACGCCCATGCTGTCGCTGCGGCAGCGTATGATGCACTCGCGCTTCCGGAACCCGCTGAACCGCGCGCCCGCCAGACCCCCCTACAGACCAGGTCAATGCGCCCTACGATCCGTCGCTTGGTCGGCTTTTTCTTTTTGTAAAACGTGTTCAGTAGTGTTCTTAGCAGTTACTGCGGGGATTTTCTTTTACTGAGGATCCGAGCCCCGCGTGGAGTTTGACCAATGTAACATAATTGCATCCTCTTCCCCATCTCGTAGGATTTGCATCGCCCTTCCTGGTTTTCAGATGAGGACGTGAGGGTGGCTTGCTGGAGGTCACGCAGCTGAGCAGGGGCTGGGCTGCAAATCCAGGCCCAAGGGGTCTAATGCCACAGCCCTCATTCCACGTCCCATGCTGCCTCATTGAATTGCTTGTGTGGTTAGGCGCCATTAATTGACTCTAACTCATAGCAACCATGTGACAGAGTAGAACTGCCCCATAGGTTTTCTGGGCTGTCGTCTTTACAAAAGAGGCCTTGCTGCAGCGGTTAAAGCACTCGTCTGCTAACGGGAAAAACGTCAGCCCTTGAACCCGCCAGCCACTCTGTGGGAGAAGGATGGAGCAGTCTGCTTCCGTGAAGACTCACAGCCTTGGAAATAGTTGTGCTCTGCCCTCCCGGTCTCTGTGAGTCTCAGGAGACTGGGCGCCGTGGTTTTGGTTTGGTTTTAATCTTTAATGCTCCTTCTTCCACCAGAGCAGCTGGTGGGTTCCAACTGCCAAGCTTTCCATTGGCAGATGAGCGCTTAAGCGATGCACCACTTAACATATGTTCTCAGTCTGTGAGAATGTGTCATGTAGTCACTAGGCCAAACCCAGGGTCTTGTATCTCGGGTTATTTTTAGTTGTTCATGAGTTAGCCAGCCTGTTTTTAAAGGAATCCACAGCCACTGATTAGATCTCCAGGCTCAGTCTTGTCTTGTTGGTTCTGCATTAAAAACCCCTCAGCTAAGCAAACCCTGGGACAAAGTGCTGACTTAGGTATGAATTGCTTAGACATTGCAATCAATGAATGCTGCTTAAAGCCAGAAAATCCATGTGAAAGATAAGAGTCACACAGAGTCCCAAGCGCATGTGGGCCTTACATTTATTAGATGACAGACTGTAGACAGCTCTGAACTGGCGTCTACATGGACCCCAAGGCAGGGGCTGAGGTGTTTATCTGAAGTCTGCATTTAGTTAAGTGGTGCCTCACACTGTCCCTCTGTGTAATTGGTACTTAGTAAAACATTCCTGAATGAGTGTATTAGGATGTGTTAATCTGTAGAGTGTGTTGTTTCAGCCCAGTAAAGACATACAGAGCAGTGCTCATAATGGAAGGTCTCCACTAACATGGACTGTTTTAAGCAAACACAACCAGCCGCTGTGGAGCTGACTCAGACTGATACCGGCCCCGTGGGTGTCAGGGTACAACTGGGCTCCAGAAGGTTTTCAGCGGCTGGTTTTGTGGCAGTCGATCACCACGCCTTTCTTCCAAGCCACTTTTGGGTGGACTCAGACCTCCAACATTTCCATTGTTATGTGCCGTCAAGTCGGACCTGACTCATAGCGACCCCTCCTTGGGTTTCTGAGGCTGTTTCACTACAGAAGTAGATAGCCCAACCTTCCTTCCGAGTAGTGGCTGGTGGGTTTGAACCCGCAGCCTTCTGGTTAGCAGTCCAATGCCTTAGGCATTACGCTACCAGAGCTCCTCTAGCTGAGCATATTAACTGCATCACCCAGCGAAGCCTAAGACCTTGATGATGGGTATAAAATCCACAGTCCCTTGTATATAGCAAACCAAAACTAAACTCACTGCCATCAAATCAAGGCAACTTATAGCAACCCCTCTTTGGGTTTCCAAGGCGGTATCTCTATGGAAGTAGATTGCCCAATCTTCTCTCTGAGGAGTGGCTGGTGAGTTTGAACCAGCCTTGGTTGACTCTTAACTTGACTTAACTTGACTCTGGTTAGCAAAACTTAACTTGACTCTGGTTAGCAGTCAAGTGCCTTAGGAGCTCGATAAATATTCAATGAATAAATGATGGAGAGAAATAAGTGGATGACCTGCAAATACACGTCAGAAAGCTGAAGGCCTCTGCCTAGTGGGTAAAGCTGGGCCTTGGAGACCTCCCGACTGAGACTTTCCACCAACTGTAGCTGATCAGAAATGTCAGGAAGTGAACAGAAGGGCAAGTGAAGGGATAGACAGAATCAGAACAGGAAAGGGTAGCGGACTGACCTTTGTACTTACCGACGAAACCACACCAAACCCTTTGCTTCACGTCGATTCCAACCCGTGGTGACTTGATGTACAACAGAGTAGAACTGCTCCAAAGGGTTTTCTTGGCTGTAATCTTTCCAAGAAAACCACCAGGCCTTTCTTCTGAGACACCACTGGGTGGGTTCAAACCACCAAACTTTAGGCTAACTTTGTGCAGACCATTTCTCTCAGCAAGTGCTTCTCAAGCCGCCAAGCGGAGGCCAGTCCACTCTGAGGCAGCACTGTGCATTTGTTCGTGGTGATTGATGATGTGGCCTGAGCCAGCTAGAAATAGTCTCCTTGTTTAGTGTAGTCTGCTGAGAAGAGCAGGAGCGCATCCAGGACGTTTTACAGTTTTCTCCATCCTTCCAACCCTCCCTCCCTCCAACTTCCAGTTGGTTAAAACAGAGCTGTAGCTGCTAAGGTCTTAAGCTTTATCTGGAAAATTGACTTATGCTGATCACTCTCATTGCCTCAGTATTACAGGAAACTATGACTTTTTAACAGGCATTCGTGTTTGCCATGTAAAAGTCTCAACTTAAGACGATCGTTACCTAATATACGTGAACTGTTGGTATTAAACACTTTTTAACGTTTCCATGTGAAATGATGTGTTACTGCTTAGTTTGTTAAGAAGCCAGCGTCCCAGGAATGCTGAACTCACCAGGCTCTTATTCTTTTTTCGTATGTGTAGGTTATACTGGCAGACCACACATAGATGGGAGCGTCCTTCCTAGTAGTAATGGAAAACAGAGTGGACAAAGAGTTATCAATGGCCCCCAAGGAACAAAGTGGGTAGGGTAAACTTCTTCATGAATACCGTTAGTTTGATGCTGTTGGAAAGAGAAAAATGACGGACATTGTGCAGCCATCAATAAAATGGTCTTTCTCTTTTTTTCCCCTCTAGTTTTAACCACTCCCGTGTGAAGATCCTTATGTATCGTTTCTTTCTGTGCTCAGAAAAGTCTTTGGTTCACCTGAGTAACTAGTGCTTTCTTCTGGTAGCTAAGAGAAAGCTGGGCTTTGTCTCCTCTTTGGCTTGACTGTTCTGAGGGTCAGAGAAATGGGGTCCTAACCACAGTTACCTAGAGTCTATAAAGGGCTTCTCAACAACTTCTATTTTCCTGGTTCTGAGAGCTTTGTTTTCTTTTTCTTTTTTGGTTATTGTTTGATCAAATATCAATCCAACAATATTTTCTGTAAATTGCCTCAAATCTTCTGCAAAAGGAAGGATGTGAAAACAAACAAACAAAAGCTCTGCATCAAATAGTCAGTGTTCATCATATCACCTTTTCAATCTTCTAACAATTGTTGGACTGAAACAGAAAACATTATTAGCATTTTGCTTATGTTTAAATGAAACAACTTTAACTACCTGAGGTTAAGCTCAATGTTTGGGGTTTTTGATGAGTTGAGAGTAATGGGAGGAACACATTGCTTTCCAACTTTTAGGAATATAAAATATTTTTTTTCAAAGAGCCAAAACATGGTTAACAGTAGATTTGCCCGTCAGGGTTTCTCATGTATAAGGCTGTGGTTTAGGAAAGTATATTAAAGGGCTTGCTGAAGTTTTCAGGCATAGGTAATCTGAAAATGTCATGAAATCCTTTAATATTTTCAAAAGATCAGAAATTTATAAGAGGAAAAATGCATACTCACACAAAAGGTCGTGGTCAACAATTTTGAACTGATGTGGTATGAGAGTGGATTTAAAGAGCAGAGTTTATATAAATCACTTTTATTTTAAACACCAAAGCAGCCTGCCTATAGGGTTCCTGAGGTGGTCTGAGGCACAGAACACTGGCTCAAATCAAGGCAGCATGGCCCAGTGGAGTGAGGGGGCTTGTGAGATTCAGGCTGCGGGTCAGGTCAGGTAATTTGCACGTCTAACCAGGGGCTGCAGAGGCTGCTCCTCCAGGGGCCACACTTTGAGAACCCCCAGTGTAGAGCATGAGTTTATTCCATGCCAGAGTCTTCAAGTACCATACTAGTTCTCTTGAAGCTTATGGTTCCTTGAATACAAAAATTTTGCATGCATACTATATTACCAAATCAAAAACCAAACCCACTGCCACTGAGTCGATTCTGACTCATAGCAACCCACTTTGGGTTTCCAAGGAGGTAAATCTGTACAGAAGTAGATTGCCCAGTCTTCCTTCCATGGAGTGGCTGGTGGGTTTGAACCGCCAGCCTTCTGTTGAGCAGTCAGATGCCTCAGGCACTGTGCCACCAGAGCTCCTTAGCATATTGTTTCAGGCAATTTAATTCCAAATTGTTTCTGTTACAGCCACTTTGAGTTTTAAGATTCACAGCCAAATGGAAGCATTCCATGTTTTTAATACAGTAGCAGTTCAAGTTCATTGAAAAAAGTTAAAGCAACTGAGAAACAGAGAGGGAAAGTAAGCATGCCTTGCCCAGACCGCTTCTCAGAGTTAGCCACTGTTAGCAGTTGGGGTATAGCTTTCCCAACTTTTTTCCTGCCTTTTTAAATTTATATACAAAATAGGTAGATTTCATTTTTGTGCAACATCATTCCTGTAATCTGAGTTTTCTCTTCACCATATCAGTACCTGCCAATATATGTGGAATTCCCCTATCCTTTTTATCAGCAGCATAGTATTCTATTGTGTGGATGTACCATAATTTATTTAAACTGTTTCCCCAATTGACAAGAAGACCGTTTCCTAATTTTCAGCATTAGACACAATGGACTAAATGGTAAAAATATTTTGAACATCTTTGACATATTTGAGAACTTAAAAACAACCATTATATTGTATGGGTGAGAAATTATAACATGAAATAGAATTGTTTTTGCACTTTATTCTTTTTCAATGTTACAAATGACAGTAACACAAATAATGTTACCTGCTCCATGATGGTTCCTTCTGGGGCAGCTTCATGCATGTGTGTGTGGCATTGTTAACAGTGGATATGTTGAAATGCCCAATGTATTCTTTCCTGTCTGTCGTGGATCTAGGTTGTGGATCTTGATCGTGGGTTAGTACTGAATGCAGAAGGAAGGTACCTCCAAGACTCAAACGGCAATCCTCTTCGCATTAAACTAGGAGGAGATGGGCGGACCATTGTGGGTAAGTTAGAACAGTTTTTTTTCTTTTTTTTTAAATTATGATGTGAGTGAAAGTTTACAGAGCAAATTGGTTTCCCATTCAACAAGCCATACATTCTGTTTTGTGACATTTACTGAAGTCCCCACACTATAATCACATTCTCCCCACTTTCTCCCTGTGCCCACCCCTTCCCTTCATTCTTCCTTCCTGTCCCCCTTCTCGCCTGCCTAGCTCTGTTGCTGGGAAAATGCTGTCCTCTTGATCTCATGTGCTTGATTACTCGTATGAGTGCACACCCTCCTGATATTACTGTCCCCCTTGTAGGCCTGCCTATCATGGCTGCCAGTTGAGTCACAGGGTAAGTTCAGTTCCTGCATCAAATTGGCAGTGTTCATCAGATCACCTTTTCAATCTTCCAACCATTGTTGGACTGAAACAGAAAACATTATTAGCACTTTGCATATTTTTAAAGGAAAGGACTTTAACTACCTGAGGTTAAACTCAATGTTTGGGGGTTTTTGATGAGTTGAGAATAACAGGTGGAACACATTGACACCTGAAGGGTGTCTCACAATCAAAAAGCCAAACCCCTGCTGTCGAGTCAGATCTGACTCATAGCAATCTTTTCTTGGGTTTCCAAGGTAGTATCATTACAGAAGTAGATTGCCCAATCTTCCTTCCAAGGAGTGGCTGGTGGATTTGAACCACAGGCCTTCTGGTTAGCAGTCAGATGCCTTCGGCACTCTGCCTCTGAGGGCCATGGTTTCAGGGTTTCCACCAGTCTTCATCAAACCAATAGGCCTAGTCTTTTTTATGATCTTGAGTTTTGTTCCACATTTTCCCCTACCCTATCTGGGACTTCTCATTGCAATCTGTTTCAGACTGGTCAGCAATAGTAGCCAGGTGCCATCTAGTTCTGATCTCAGGGTCATGGAAGCTGGAGTTTAAGTGGTCCATTAGTCCTTTGGACTAATTGTTTCCTGCATCTTTGATTTTCTTTACTCTTCTTTGCTCCAGATGGGGAGAGCCCAATCATTGCACCTTAGATGGTCACTCACAAGCTTTTAAGATCTCATTTACTACTCACCAAACTAGGATGTAGAACATTGTCTTTGTGGACTATGTTACACCAATTGGCTTTGGTGTCCCCTGAGACTATGGGTCTGAGCCTCCCTCCCCAGCAACTCATTCCCTCAAGGAGTTTGCTTATAAATAAGATGTTTTTCTAACTTGGTCCCCTAATGCTCTACTATATTCATGTATCTATTTGTAGCACTTATAAATACATAGGTAGAGATATCCCCTTGTTGTTGTTGTTGTTATATGCCATCAAGTCAGACCCGACTCATAGCGACCCCTCCTTGGGTTTCTGAGGCAGGATCACTACGGAAGTAGATTGCCTCATCTTCCTTCTGAGTATACACTCATGGGTATAGTCCCATTCACCTTCCCAGTCCTGCTCAGATGGAGTGTCTATCTGTGCATTCTCTCATAAATTATTGTTATTACTGTTACTGCAGAATTGTGTGTGTCCTAGTAGTCACCTTTGTTGCCTTTAACTCTTATGCTCCTGCCTGTGTCTTCCTCTGTCCTGATCATTTGGTGATGACCTCCCCCTTATTGTATAGTGCCTTTCCCTTCACCCAAGTTAATACGTATCTACCCTCTACTTGGTGATTGTCCATCCCATTCGTTCTGTGTGTGAACATTTTCTTAATTTTTTACAGTAATGGACTCCTACAATAATTGTCCTTTTGTGATTAACTACTTGTCTGTCAGTATGTCCCACTGTGGTTGCTTGCATGTTGCTGTGAGGCTGGAGGCTGTGCCATTGGAATTTCAAATACCAGCAGGGTCCACTCATGGTAGACAGGTTTCCGTGGAACTTCCAGATTGACAGGGAAGAAGGAAGGGGCCATCCACTTCTTAAAGAATTGGCCAGTAAAAACCATATGAATAGCAGTGAAACACTGATGTATTTCTGGAAAACTTGATGGATAGCCCTGAAACATAGTCTGATATAGTGCAGGAAGATGAGCCCCTCAGGTCGGAAGGCACTCAGAATACAATTGGGGAAGAGCTACTTCCTTAAAGTAGAGTTGATCTTAATGACTTGAATGGAGTAAAGCTTTTGGGACTTCCATTTGCTGATGGGGCATGACTCAAAATGGGAAGATACAGCTACAAACATCCATTAACTGAACAAGAAATGTATGAAGTATGAATGTAGGAAAATTAGCAGCTTTCAAAAATGAAATGGAATGCGTAAAGATTGATAATCCAAGGCATGGCTATTGTTGTTTGCCGTCAAGTCGGCCCTGACTCATAGCAACCCCTTCTTGGGTTTCTGAGGCAATATCACTACAGAAGTAGATTGCCCAGTCTTCCTTCCGAGGGGTGGCTGGTGGATTTGAACCACCAGCCTTCTGGTTAGCAGTCAAATGCCTTAGGCGCTACGCCACCAGAGCTCCCATTTTGAATCAGACAATCATATGGTTGGTCTACTATTCCAGGAATGACAAATCGAAGAGGAATGGTGTCACATTCATTGTCAAAAAGAATATTTCAAGATCTATCCTGAAGTACTATGCTGTTAGTCATAGGATAACAACTATATGCCTACAAGGAAGGCCAGTTAATACTACTATTATTAAAATTTATGCACCAACCACCAAAGCCAAACACGAGGAAATTGAAGATTTTTCCCCCAACTTCTCAGTCTGAAATTGACCAAACATGCAATCAAAATATATTGATTATTTCTTGTGAATGGAATGCAAAAGTTGGAAACAAAGAAGAACCACCGGTGGTTGGAAAATATGGCCTCAATGGGAGAAATTATGCCAGAGATTGCATGATAGAATTTTGCAACACCAACTTATTCATTGTGAGTACCTTTTTTCAACAACACATATGGTGTCTATATACATGAACCTTGCAAGATAGAATACACAGGAATCAGATCAATTACATCTATGGTAAGAGGCTATGGAGAAGCCAAAACAAGGTCAGGAACTAACTGGAACAGACCATCAATTGCTCATATACAAGTTCAAGTTGAAGCTGAAAAAAATTAAAACAATTCCATGAGATGCAAAATGTGACCTTGATTGTATCCCACCTGAACTTAGAGACCATCTGAAGAACAGATTTGATGCATTGAACGCCAGTGACCAAAATCCAGATGAGTTGTGAGATGACATCAAGAACATCATATATGAAGAAAACAGAAGGTCATTAAAAAGACAATAAAGGAAGAAAAGTCCAAAATGGATGTCAGAAGAGACTCTGAAACTAGCTCCTGAATGCAGAGTAGCCAAAGCAAATGGAAGAAATGACAAGATAAAAGAGATGAACAGATTTCAAAGAATAGCTTCAGAAGACAAAGTCAATTATAATGAAATGTGAGAAGACTTGGCGTTAGAAAACAAAAAGGGAAGAACACACTCAGCATTCTGAAGCTGAAAGAACTGAAGAAAAAATTCAAGGCTTGAGTTGCAATCTTGAAAGATTCTATGGGCAAAATATTGAACAGTGCAGGAAACATCAAAAGAAGATGGAAGGAATATACAGAGGCACTGTACCAAAATGAAGTGGTCGATGTTCAACTCTTTCAGGAGGTGGCATGGATCAAGAATGAATGGTATCAAAGGAAGAAGTCAAAGCATCACTGAAGGAATTGGTGAAAAACAAGGCTCTAGGAATTGACGGAATACCCACTGAGATGTTTCAACAAACAGATGCTGCGCTGGAAGCACTTACTCAGATATGCCAAGAAATTTGGAAGACAGCTACCTGGCCAGCTGACTGAAGGAGATCCATATTTGTACCTATTCCAAAGAAAGGTGATCCCACAGAATGTGGAAATTACTGAACAGTATCATTAATATCACATGCAAGTAAAATTTTGCTGAAAATAATTAAAAAACTGTTGCAGCAGTGTATTGACAGGTGACTTCCAGAAATGCAAGCTGGATTCAGCAGGGGAAGTGGAAGGAGGGATATCATTGCTGATGTCAGATGGATCTTGGCTGAAAGCAAGCAATACCAGAAAAATGTCTACTTGTGTTTTATTGACTATGCAAAAGCATTCTACTGTGTGGATCATAACAAATTATGGATAGCATTATGAAAAATGGGAATTATGGAACACTTAATTGTGCTTATGAGGAACCTGTACATAGACCAAGAGGCTGTCATTCAAACAGAACAAGGAGATACTGCATGGTTTAAATATCAGGAAGGGTGTGTGTTAGGGCTGTATCCGTTCACTATACTTACTCAATCTGTATGTTGAGTAAATAATCAGAGAAGCTGGACTGTATGAAGAATGTGGCATCAGGATTAGAGGAAGACTCACTAACAACGTGTGATATGCAGAAGACAGAATCTTCCTTGCTGAAAGTGAAGATGACTTGAAGCACTTATTGATGAAGGTTAAAGACTACAGTCTATATTATGGATTACACCTCAACATAGAGAAAACAAAAATCCTCACAACCAGACCAATAAGCACCATCATGATAGATGGAAAAAAGATTGAAGTTGTCTATGATTTCGTATTACTTGGCTTCACAATCAGCATCCGTGGAAGCAGCAGTTAGGAAATCAGACACCATATTGCACTGGGCATATCTGCAGCAAAAGACCTTTTGTTGAAGAGCAAAGCTATCTCTTTGAAGAATAAGGGGTGCCTAACCTGAGCCATGGTATTTTCATTTGCCTCAGATGCATGTGAGAGCTGGACTATTAATAAGGAAGACGGAAGAGTTGATGCTTTTTTTTTTTTTTTTTAAATGCATTTTTTTGAAATAGAATTTATGTACAGTGAAATACACAAAACTAAAGTGGCATGGGTCAATGGTTTTTTTTTTTTTTTCTTGCAGTGTTCTTTCCCCTCCCCTCCCACCTCTAGTAACCAAAAAAGAAAATTTCCTTCTGTATATAATATAAACCTTTCCTTGACTTTTTACAGTAATGGACTAATACAATATTTGTCCTTCTGTGATTGACTTACTTCACTCAGCATAATGTCCTCCAAGGTCATCCATGTTATGTGGTGTTTTGCAGATTCTGCATTATTTTTTAGGATTGCCTAGTATTCTATTGTGTGTATGTACCATAGTTGAAGGTAACTTTTAATTTTTCCCAAGCTGCTTTCAGGATTCTTTCTTTGTCTTTGGTTTTGGTGAGTTTGATGATGATATGTCTTGGTGATTTTCTTTTGAGGTCTAGCCTGTTTGGGGTTTGTTAGACTTCTTGAATGGATATATTCTTATGTTTCCTCATACTGGGAAATTTTTCTTCCAACAAATGTTCTACAATTTTCTCTGTGGTTTTATTTGTCTCTTCCTGTTCTGGAATTCTGATTACATGTAGGTATTCCTTTTGATGGTATCCCACAGGAACCGTAGGTTTTCTTCATTTTGTTTTGATCTCTTTTTCTGATTGATCTGTTTCCAAAGAAGTGTTGAGGTATTTGTCTTCAATCTCACTAATTTTGTCTTCCATTGATTCCATTCTACTCCTTTGTCCATTCAATGTGTTACCTATTTCTGAAAATTTCTTATTAACCTTATGTATTCCTATCTGTAGATTTTTAATCATTTCTAATTTTTCATTTATTTTGTCATTTTGTTCTTACATTGTCATTTTAAATTGTTCTAGGGTTTTCTCTGTGTTTTCCTTAATTTGCTTGATCTGTCTCTTAGTCTGTTGAAGGTACCTAAATATAATTCTTTTGAATTCCTTATCAGGGAGTTCCAATGCTACATCTTCCTCAGGAATGTGTTTTGGGTGTGTATCCTGGTCCCTTGTTTCTCCTGCTTTATCTTGCTTCTTTGTGTGCACTGTGATGCTCTGTTTTCTCCGAGGCATTGTGACATTTTTTTTGTTTATATTTAATTAGTGATTGTATGTTGGAGTGACTTGCTGATGATTTTCATTTTCTTTGTTTTGCTTGTATGTTATCTACGTAAGCAGGGTACTGTGCTGTGCTTCCTTGTTCACCTGTTGGCAGCATTTATACACTCACCACCTGTTCCCTTTCACATTGTCAGCCTCTCCTATGTCCCTGCCATCCTTGGCAAGTGGAGCCTATTCTTAGGTCCCTGGAATCCGAATGAGAATGCTGTCACTTTAAAATCCAAAATGGCCACCACTTGTAAACATTCGAAATGGCTGCACCCTCCAGACATCCAAGAGTCCACATTTCAGGTTGTCTCCTTCCTAGCTATTTCCCTTCCTAGTCATAGGCCACCAGCACAGTCATCCCTGAAGCCATTGGTGACCAGGGCTGATCTTTAGGTCAATTCTCAGGTCCCAACATCACTTGAAAATATTCAGGCTGTTGGTCCCATCAGAGTAGCTGACAGTCCACTTTTCTGACCATCTCCATACTCACTGTTTTCATTCAGGTTTTTCCACTAGTTGGTGCTGAATCCACTTCTGTATAGTTCCTTTCAAAGCTCAGGGCTCCAGGGTTATCTTCTATATCTCTGTCCATTGGATTCTCTTTTCTGTGTTGAAGAGGGTCTGTGTAGCTTGTCTGCCTATTCTGACATCTTACTGGAAGTCTCCCTGTATCTTTTTCAAGAGTTGATGGTTTTGAGTTGTGGTATTGGCAAAGAATACTGAAAGTACCATGGATTGCCAGAAGAACAAACAAGTCTGTCTTGGAAGAAGTGTAGCTGGAATGCTCCTTGGATGTGAGAATGGCCAGACTTCATCCCACCTACTTTGGTCATATTATCAGAAGGGTCTATTCCTTGGAGAAATATATCATGCCTGGTGTCCTTGCGAGAAAGGGGAAGACCAGGCAGTGTTTCATTCTGTTGTGCATTGGGTCATAATTAGTTAGAGCCAACTCAATGGCACCTAACAACAACAACAACAACATTTTCACTCAGCATAATGTCCACTAGGTTCATCCATGTTATGAGATGTCTTGGCGATTCATTGTTATTCTCTTAAGTTGTGTAGTATTTCATTGTATGTATATATCTTTATTTGTTTACCCATTGATCCATTGAGAGGCACTTAGGTTGTTTCCATCTTTTGGCTATTGTGAATTAATACTGTGATGTGCATATATTTGTTTGTATCCCAGCTTTTATTTCTCTAGGATATATATACCTAGTGGTGGAATTGCTGGATCATATGGCATTTCTATTTCCAACTTCTTAAGGAAGCACCATACCACTTTCCACAGTGTTTGTACCATTTTACAGTCCCACCAGAAGTGTATGAGTGAATTAGAATGATTTTTAAGGAGTGAAAGTATATTGAATTAACTGTTGAATAACAATTTCCTCCCTGTCCTCCTCCTTCCCCCCACTGTTCTTTCTTCTTCTCCTCCTCTAGTGTTTTTTTAACCTCTTCATCCTCCTTCTCACCCTCCTCTTCCTCTTCTTTTGTAACGGTTGCCTTGGTCCTGTTACTTTGAGCTCTTTGGAAAGGAATACCTCAAGAGAGGTGGAACTTAGTGTTTTCCCTGATAAAACTTTAGGCATATTCTTCCTACTGACTGCACCCTCCAGAAATGTGCCTTTCTCTTATGTTCTTGAAATTGAGCCTTTTAGAGCAGGGGCTGGCAAAGTATGGCCTGCAGCCCAAAGCCTGCCTGCTGTCCTTGTGTGACCCATGAACTAAGAATAGTTTGTACATTTTGAAATGATTGGGGAAAAAATGGAAAGAATACTTGTATTTTGTGACATCTGAAAATCATATGAAATTCAGATTTTAATGTCCATAAATAAAGTTTTATTGGAACATGGAAACTCTCATTGATTTATTTATTGTCAGTGGCTTTGTAGGCACTACAGAGTAGAGCTGCATAGTTGTGGCAGAGACAATCTGGTCCTAAAATATTGATTCTCTGGCCCTTCACAGAAAAAGTTTCCAATCCCTGGTCTGAAGTTAACACTTTCCCTCCTTAGGTGTAAGGGGAGGGAACAGGGAAGAATTACATTCTCTAATTGAGACTAGGAGTCTTTGTGTGGTGCAGTGGTTAAGTGCTCAACTACTAGCCCAAAGGTTGGCACTTTGAATCCACCAGCTGTTCAATGGGAGAAGAGACCCGGTGATCTGCTCCCATAAAGGTTACAGCCTAGGAAACCCTATGGGAAGATTCTGCTCTGTCCCTAGGGTCACTGTGAGTCCTGACTGACTCAATGGCACCCAACAAAAACAACTAAGAGTATGTGTTTTCTTGGGATAATGGGCATACAGGTGAAATATTCATATATTTGTATAAGGCAATATATAGGAGTGGACAATAAATTAAATCTAGAAATGTTTGGATAGCAGCAGATACTACTGCTTCAGCTTACATCCTTTTAATTATTCCTTTGCCTTTTCCTGATTAAAACATGATAACACATATGCTTTGAAAAGATTTTCCAGTTGTTGATTTATTTCCTGAATTATTTCATGTGTTGCATAGGTTTTGTTTGGTTTTGTTTCAGATCTGGGAGGAACCCCTGTGGTGAGCCCTGATGGCCTCCCCCTCTTTGGGCAGGGACGCCATGGCAAACCCCTGGCCAGTGCCCCAGACAAACCCATTTTGAGCCTTGGAGGGAAGCCCCTGGTGGGCTTGGAGGTCATCAAAACAACCACCCCCACCCCCACCACAACTGTGCAGTCCACCACCACTACCACCCTTCCGCCTACCACTACAACCCCACAACCCACGACCACCACCACCCGCCAGACAACCACCACCACCCGCCGGACCACCACCACCACCCGCCGGACGACCACCACCACACGCCCAACGACCACCAGCCCACGCCCAACGACCACCACCACACGCCCAAGGACCGCCACCACACGCCCAAGGACCACCACCACACGCCCGAGGACCACAACCCGGACTACCACACGGGCCACCACCACCACCACCCCAGAGCCCACCACCGCGGTCCCCACCTGTCCCCCTGGCACCGTAGAACAGCATGATGAAGATGGCAACCAGATAATGGCCTCCAATGGTATCCCTGAGTGCTACCCTGAAGAAGGTAAGCTGTCTTCATTGTAATGGTACCCCATTTACCCAGCATGCTGCACACCAGAGCAGGATTTCAAAGGCTGCATGTGAGGAGTAAGGACTGAGCCAGCAAAATGGTAGTGGGAGCCATTAATAACCCAAAGGTTTGTCGTTGACAGTCACAGGCCACAGCTGGGATTGCCAGCCTGAGCAGATAAAAATATCACATGAGATACTTACTAAAACAGTATTTGTTGTTTGTCTAAAATGCCAGTTAAGCTGTATGTGCTGTATTATATCCACAGCCCTCATGATAGCCCAGGTCAAATATTTAGCTGAAACACGGGACATTAGTAGTTTGAACTAGCATTTCCTAAAGGGTGTTCCTGGAATATTAGTGGATTAGTAGTTGTTGTCTTACAAAAAAGATTCTGTGACTGACTGTGTTCAAACAAGGTTAAATAGAGTTTTTATTGCTGGACTGCTCAGATCATTGACTAGTCTCCCTGTGAGTCTGCAAGGAAAGTCATGTTCCTCAAGAACACTTGAGGTGAAGGTGTTTCTGATTGGCACAAACGAGGAACAGTGTGTACTGCAGTGCCCCCTCTGGAAAATGTAAACCTCCGTGTGGCAGGGCTCGTTAAAGGGGCATGGGCTCTACGCTGGGTAGAAGTGCAGCATTTCCCTGTTGGGAGACACCAAAGCGGGGCTGTCCTACTGCCCAAACCCTGCCTCCTGCGAGGACTGCGTGCACGTCCGCCCTGAAGAATGGAACCTGGACCACCTTCCATGTGTCGTGGAGGAGCGGAGATGTCAGCTTCTTTCCCGCTCAGTCCCTGTGGAAACAGCACGGAGAAGACAAACTCATCTTCTCTCCTTCAGGTTGATATGGAGGGCAAGGCCAGCTGTGCAGCTTGTCTTTCTAAACTAAGGCACGGTAAAGACCCCTCAGTTCAGGAAATGTTTGCAAACTCAGATGTTTTTCACACCATTATTCACCATAATGATCCTAGTCAATTTGAATGGAATGTTCTGTCCAAAATGGGGATTCTTTTGAAATCAGTCCTTCCATGGAAAAATTCCAAATAAACAGGAAGACCTGACATACCTAAAAGCTCACACCAAAGGACAAGGGCAGACATACCAGGGAAGAGGACCACTGAGAGGAAAATGCCTATCAGTTTACCCAGTGAGTACAGATTTGAATTTACTTTTGAATTTCTCGTGTTAAAATATTATGCTACTTTCCTTGACCTCTTACTTCTGTATACATTATGTGATTTTTTTTTTTTAAACTGAAGTATGATAAGAACAGATAATTCCTTAAAAACTGATTATAAACAGAAGAGTGACTATTTTGGATGTGGTTTTATTACTATTATTGTTTTGCATTTTATTTTGTCTGCTGTAATATAGGCCTTACAACATGTCCTTTCATTTGTATTTTTGGACTTTATTTGGCATGGAGATCAGTGTTTTTATTGTATTTTTGTTTCCTCTCTTTTTGCAAATCATGGGGGGGGGTGTCTGTGTATTTTTTACGCCATTCATGTTCTTTCTTGTGATTCCTTAGTCTAAGCCAAAGAGGTATTTAAATATTAATGATAATTTATAATGTTGCTGTGGGCAACATTTTGAAAATAATTACCAATCAATACAAAGTCCTGGGAAGGAAATAACATTTGGCAGAGAAATATTTTATTCTCTACAGTATTATAATGGACTATCATTTATTATTTTAAAAATAGTTCTATGTGGCCATCTTCCTTTTTAAAGTGTCTGCTGCTCCACTAACTTTTGAAAACATTTTCTTCTCTGTATTCTAATCATATTCATTCTAATGTGTATTAATTCTGTTTTTAATTTTTATAGCTGATTTGTGGAAATATAATTCACATACCCTAAAGTTCACCCTTTTAAAGTGTAGTTTCATGGGTTTTGTTATATTCATAGAGATATGAAAAGTTCCAAAACATTTTCACTCCCCAAAAAGAAACTCCATATCCCTTAGCAAGCTTTCCTCTTTTCCCTGGAAGCTACCATCACTTTCTGTCTCTCTTCTGGTTTCTCATAGAAATGGACTCATACTGGCTTCTTTCACTTTTCCTGATGTCTTCAGGGTCCATGCACGTTGTAACATGTATCAGTCCTTCACTCCTTTGTATGGCCAGCTAACACCTCGTTGTGTGGATGGACCCCATTTTGTTAATCCAGTTATCAGTGGATGGGTATTTGGGCTGCTTTCGGTTTTTGGCTGTTATGGGTCATGCTGCGGTGAACATTTGTGTTTTGCGTGGACGTATTTTTTCGGTTCTCTTGGGTGAAGACCCAGGAACAGAATTGCTGGGGCTTGTGGAAACTGTTTAGCTTTCGAGGAACTGCCTGTTTTCCACAGCAGCGGCACCTTTTACGTCCCCAGCGGCAGTGCACAAGGTTCCAGTCTCCCCACATTCTCACCAGAACCTGCTCTTTCCCCTCTTTCTGATGATAGCTGTCCTGGTGGGGGTGGAGTGTTATCTCACTGTGGTTTTGATTTGCATTCCCTGATGAAAAATGATGCTGATGTTATTCTTCACGCATGCCTGGATGGGTTCTGAAAGTGAAAGTGAGCGCAGTTCTTTATGGGTCCAGATAAACCCTTTCTGAGAACTGAGTACTGTATTTTTATGCAAATGTTTATGCAAATTCAAGTCTATGTGTGTTTGCCAATCTCCTCCCCATTCCTGAGGTATTTTCATAAGTACTGCTATGCCAATTTGTTTTTCCATGGTGCTGTAAAAAAAAAAAAAATATTACCATAGTATGCTTGTGAAAATACCTTGTAGGTGGGGGAGGCCACAGGTGGCAAAGAAACATAGCAGGTGCATGCGTTTTGGGTGAAAATGCAGTCTGTTCATTTGATACATATTTCTTAATGCTTATCATTGTGACAGTGGTTTCATTCAGAGAAAACTTGTGGAAATGTAAAAATGTAATTCACTATTCCACATAAATTAGGTTCTGAGGGACATACAGAAAAGGGGGTGAGAAGGCTCTGTCCCAAAGGGCTTACAATCTCACGGAAATGATGGTACTCCCACTTCTCACTTATTGACATAGTGAGGTTCCAAAGACCAAGTCGTTATGCAGAAATCAGTGTTACATGAAAGTGGAGGATGACCACATCAGATCACCAAACAGAGAGACTCCATGACATCCTTACATAACTGCCAGATTATATCACTACATAACTGCCAAACCACTGAGTATCATGCCCAGCCAGGTTGACACATACCGTTAACCGCCACAGCCAGTGTTACCTCGTCTCGAACCTCGGTGTTTGTTACTGCTAGGTATACATCGTTAATGCATAGAATACTCAGATAGTAGATTTTTCAGTGTTGTTGTCAATGTGAAATGTTGGGTGACGAGACAGTCGACTGGTAAGTGAGGAGTCGGTGTAGATTGACATCAGATACTCTATCGTTAGAAAGCCAAGCTGACCGTCTTTGAAACAGACACATGGGTGAGGAGACAAGTGCAAGCCCTTTGTCCCATCCAGGGACCTTAGGAAGTTCAGTACAGAGTGCCGTGCCGTTTCTTAGTTGATCAGCTTTTCGTGGCCTCAGTGTGCAAAACTGTGTTGTGTGGACACCATAGTGGTACTCAG